GGTTGTTAACCAATGTCATAAAACAGCATGTGTGTTACTGTTACATGAGAAACTATCTGTTCTGTAAGCCTTCACCTGAAGTACAATAAAATATTTAAAAACAAAAAAAAAAGAAATAGGGGAAAAAAAGGCATAAAGATCAGAAAGAAAGAATTAAAACTGTCTCTAGTCACAGGGGATACGGTTGTTTATGTAGAAAATCCTAGGAAACTAAAAAAAAAAAAAAAAAGTACTACAATCTATAAGTGAATTTATCAAGGATATGATGGTTAAACACCAATATAAAAATCAATTACATATCTACGTACTGTTAACAAGCACTTGGAAAATATTTTAAATCAAATCATTCCAAAATAACTCAGAAATAAAATGGAGAAAAGGTTGGCATGACTTCTACGTTGAAAACAGTATAAATATTGCTGAGGAAATTGAAGAGGATCTATATAAAACATGAGATATACCATGTGCATGAACTGGAAGTTTCCATATGTCAATCTTCCTCAAACAAATCTATAGATTCAATGCAACACCAATCAAAATCCAATTAAGATTTCATTTTAGAAATTGATAAGATATGCTAATATTTTGATGAAAACAGGAAAGATATGGAATACTGGAAACAGTTTAGAAAAAGAACAAAGTTGAAGTCAATGTCATATTGGCATAAAGACAGATGTACCAATAGAACAGAAGACAGAATTCGGAAATAGATCCCCATAGTATAGTCAGTTGATTTTTGACTCTAGCACTACCGTAATTCAGTGGGGAAAGGATAGTCCTTTCAGCAAATGGTACTGGAAGAATGGAATATTTGTATAAAAAAAAAAAAAAAACCCTCAATTTCTTCTTCCCCACATAAAGACAAATATATGTACCTCTTGAGTTATTGCTGCTGTTAAAGTACCTCCAGAACTGTCTCCTGAAATACAGATTCGGTTGGGATCCACTCCATATTTTCTAAGAATTTTATCCTGAAGAAAAAACTTGACTGCAGTGATGCCATCTTCAAGCTGGACAGGAAAGTGGTATTGAGAAGTTAATCTGTAGCTTTAAAAAAGAACAAGAAAGCATTTATGACTGAATCTGTCCAGGTAGCTTTCAAATATCAAATAGATACAATTGAATTGTTGAATCTTTCAGAAATCAAACTTAAGGTTCTACTAACCTTTTACTACAATGGAAAAAAAAAAAAAAAGAACTTTGATAAAAGGTTTTTGAATCTTGGATCTAAGGTCCATGCCATCATTGTGTGAGGGCAAAGGGGAGTGTGGTGAACTCCCTGAAATTGTATGCACTATTTTTAGCCCACGTACCTTTTGGACTAGAGATGCTCTACAGCTGCCGTTATATTCTTAATGTGAACAAAATGCTTTGAAAACCATTGTTGGAAAAGCACCACAGATTTGTAAAAGCAGCAGATCTGAGAGCATATCCCAGGCCAGTATCTTATTTTATTTTTTAAGGTATTTAGATCAAAATTCTACAAGCTGGCAAGCCACATTCTTCATCATGGGTAATGCTTGGGAAGTTAATTCCAAATAAAACTTGTGATATATAAATAACATTTAAATATGCTAGGGAGCTTGCTCAGAGCCCTCGAGGTGCAAACAACAGTTCAGCACTCTGTTAGGAAAAGTTGGTGGTTTGAACCCACCAGAGGCTCAGCTGGCAATCTGCTTCTGTAAAGATCACAGCCCAGAAAAACCTATGGGGCAGTTCTGCTCTGTCGCATAGGGTCTCTTTCGGTCTGAAATGACTCGATGTCATCCAACAACAACAACAGTATGGGAGCTTGCTTATTTCTGGAAAATTAATTTATGAGGTAAATTACCACCATTTTTTTTAAAAGGGTACAAATGGATTTTTTTCCATATAAGTGAACCAGTAAAAAAAAGAATACCTCTGTAAGCCTTGTTTTCAGAGATTTTTTTTTCTTTCAGGATGCTAATATTTGTAAATAGTCCTGGTGGCATAGTGGATAAGAGCTTGGCTGGTAACCAAATGTCAGCAGTTCAAATTCACCAACCGCTCCTTGGAGACCCTATGCAGCAGTTCTACTCTCTCTTGTGGGGTTGCTAGAAGTCGGAATTGACTCGATGGCAATGGGTTTTTATACTTAACATTAAATGTTGGCCAGATGGTCCTTAAAACTTTATCATAAATTGCATTTAGAAAATCCTATATAAAGTATAATTCAAACATAGGTATATACAAAAAGGTGTTGGTATGTGCTACTACAAATAGAGTGAGTTTAGGTATTTGGGGGCAAAACCAAATCAATTGCTGTCCAGTCCGTTCCAACTCATGGGAATCTCTTTTGTGTCTGAGTAGAGCTGTGCTCCACAGAGTTTTCAATGGCTAATTTTTCAGATGTAGATCACCAGGCCATTTATCTGAGATGCCTCTGGGTGGACTTGAACCTCCAAACTTTCAGTTACCAGGTGAGCGTGTTTGCACCACCCAGGAAAACATCACCTTTGCACCACCCAGGGAAACATCACAAATTTTAAGAATTTGACGGAATGTATAAGCCAAGCACAACTTTACACTACTATAGTAAAACAAATTTGAAATAATAAGTTATAGATTACTTCAAAAATCTATATAGGTAAAAATGAGAACAACTTAATATTATAAATTAGAACTATCTCTGAAAACATGAGGTTCATCTTAGTGTTATAAATGACTAGGATAAATGCTCTGTTTAGATGATCAAGCCATCACTTATAATTTTCTCTTATAACTTTTTTAAGCTCCTAGCTAAAAAAAAAAAAAAGCTATGCCATTAAGTCCTCTTAGGGCTATTGGAAGTCTCTAAATATTTCTTTTTCCCCCACGTCTGTCAGTTTGTCATACTGTAGGGGCTTGTGAGTACTGTGATGCTGGAAGCTATGCCACAGGTATTCAGATGCGAGCAGGGTCACCCATAATGGACAGGTTTCAATGGAGCTTCCAGACTAAGACTGACTAGGAAGAATGATTCAGTGGTCTACTTCTGAAAAGAATTAGCCAGTGAAAACCTTACGAATAGCAGCAGAACATTGTCTGATATAGCGCCAGAAGATGAGACTCTCAGGTTGGAAGATACTCGAAAGATGACTGGAGAAGAGCTGCCTTCTCAAAGTAGAGTCGACCTTAATGACATGGATGAAGTCAAGCTTTCGGGACCTTCATTTGCAGATGTGGCATGACTCAAAATGAGAGGAAACAGCTGCAAACATCTATTAATAATTGAAACATGGAATGTACGAAGTATGAATCTAGGAAAATTAGAAATCGTCAAAAATGAAATGGAACACATAAAGACCGAAATCCTAGGCATTAGTGAGCTGAAATGGACTGGTACTGGCCATTTTGAATCAGACAATCATATGGTTTACTATACCAAGAATAACAACTTGAAGAGGAATGGCATTGTATCCATCACCAAAAAGTACATTTCAAGATTTATCCTAAAGTACAAAGCTGTCAGTGATAGGATAATATCCATACATCTACAAGGAAGACCAACTAATAGGACTATTATTCAAATTTACACACCAACCACTAAGGCCAAAGATGAAGAAACTGAAGATTTTTACCAGTTTCCACAGTCTGAAATCGATCAAACATGCAATCAGGATGCATTAATAATTAGTGGTGATTGGAATGTGAAACTTGGAAACAAAGAAGAAGGATCAGTAGTTGGAAAATATGGCCTTAGTGATAGAAAGATGCTGAAGATTGCATGATAGAATTTTGCAAGACCAATGACTTCTTCATTGCAAATATCTTTTTTCACCAACATAAATGGCAACTATACACATGGACCTCACCAGATGGAATACACAGGAATCAAATTGACTACATCTGCTGAAAGAGATGATGGAAAAGCTCAATATCTTCTCAACATAAAGAAAACAAAAATCCTCACAACTGGACCAATAAGCAACATCATGATAAACGGAGAAAAGATTGAAGTTGTCAAGGATTTCATTTTGCTTGGATCCACAATCAACATCCACGGAAGCAGCAGTCAAGAAATCAAAAGACACATTGTATTGGGCAAATCTGCTGCAAAAGACCTCTTTAAAGGGTTGAAAAGCAAAGATGTCACCTTGAAGACTAAGGTGCCTCAGACCCAAGCCATGGTTTTTTCAATCACCTCATATGCATGCGAAAGCTGGACAATGAATAAGGAAGACCAAAGAAGAATTGACACCTTTGAATGTGGTGTTGGCAAAGGATATTGACTTAACCATAGACTGCCAAAAGAACGAACAAATCTGTCTTGGAAGAAGTACAACAAGAATGCTCCTTAGAAACAAGGATGGTGAGACTACATCTTACATAATTTGTACACGTTGTCCGGAAGGATCAGTCCTTGGAGAAGGACATCATGCTTGGTAAAGTACAGGGTCAGCAAAAAAGAGGAAGGCCCTCAACAAGATGGATTGACACAGTGGCGAAAACAATGGGCTCAAGCATAACAACGATTGGGAGCATGGCGCAGGACCAGGCAATGTTTCGTTCTGTGGTGCATAGGGCCGCTATGAATTGGAACTGACTCAACAGCACCTAACAACAACAACAAATATTTTTTTCTTACCATGGACTAGGGAAGGTGTAGAAGAAAAATATTTCCTTCTGAGGAGGATGGCTATCAGGGTATACCAGTACAACAAAGAAAATACTGAACTGTACTAAGATATTCTAGCAAATTCTGATATGTTCTGGCAAAATCCAGAATGTTAGATCACTTTTCCTGGTAGTGGTTTAAAATTCTCAACAGGCTCTAACTTCTACCTCCTACATCACTACACAACAAGAATTTTTATAAATTTTTATACAGTTAAACACAATCCAACATTCCACATGGGTAGCGGTTCATTTATACCCTCTTGTCCTGCTATTAGGAGCCCTGGTGGTGCAATGGTTAAGAGCTCGGCCACTAACCATCAGTTCAAATCCACCAGCAGCTCCCTACAAGGCAGTTCTACTTTGTCCTATAGGGTCACTATGAGTCGGAATCAACTCAACAGCAACAGGTTTGGTTTTGGTCTTTTGTCCTGCTATGTTGAGATAAAACTAGGACCGTACAGGACCTGGGTTATATGTGCCTAGAGATACCACAACAGTGTTTCCAAAATTGTTCACCCTGGGTTCCCACAATGGCGGAAAAATAATGAGGTACTGGCCCTCTTTGAGGAGTGGTGGATGCTATGATGCTGATAAATAAAAGATATTAATATTTAAAAATTTTATTTGAGGCATAGCTGACTTGATTTGGAAACAGAACCTCTGTGTGGTGAAGGCAAAAATCATAGTAGCTGGAGGTTCCGGCAAAATGGCGCTCTAGGCAGAAGCACCACGCCGTCCCTCCACAGCAAAGATGTGAAAATCTAAGCCAAACAGAGAATACAACAATCCTGAAACCCTAAAACATCAAATGAAGAGATAAAGAACTCAGCCAAGCACCAAATGGAGTGAGAAAACTGACAGAGAACGG